TGTGAATGTGTATTTTTTGATGCACTATGTTGTGAATTAGCGTCTGAAAGACCAACTTAAGTTTTGAATTAGTGTCTAAAATGATGATTTAAATTGTGAATTCTAATTTTTTTTATCCAAATATGATTTTTGAGGGAAGGATGTTGGCAGTGTTAGCACCAATGGTTGGTGGTCGAGATGGTTGATGACAACATATAGTAGTTGGCGCTGTTGATGTTAGTGATGGTGGTAGAGTAAGGATATGTTATATTTCTGACCCATCTTCATCTTCTTCGCTCATTTCAGATAAGCTATCATCTTTTATGATTTATTCATATGTTTTCATTTTTGTTATTTGCCTCTGAAATATGCAATAATCTATGTATGTATTAAATTATGAATGAGTTATTTATACAATGAAAAATGAGATTATACTTGTAAGTGAGATATGAATGTATTGTATTAAACTGTGAATTTTGTAAATTAAGTTATAAATTTTATTCACAGTTTAATATAATAAATGTACTATTTAATATACAGTAATTCCTCCAAATATGAACGTATTAGTGTGAGTTTTATGTTGAGAATATGGTTGTGAATATATAATTTTTGTGTATTAAACTGTAAATTTATTATATTAAGTTGTGAATTTTGTGTATTAAACTACGAATTGACTGTATTAATCTACCAATTTTTTATAAACTAATTTTTTGTTTGCTTTTGAAATATTTAAAGAAAGAAGCATTATACACATATATTCTTTCTCTATTTTTAAATAAATTATATAAATTTTATACAGTGAATATTGTGTAAGTTAAACTTCGAAAAAAGTACCAATCTCCATATCTAAAGGTATAAATGTAAGTTTTAAGTTAAGATTATGATATTTCTATCTATTAAATTGTTAATTTATTATATTAAGTGGTAAATTTTTTGTATTAAATGATAATTGACTATGTTTAGATGTGAATTGACTACATTTTGTTGTTAAATTTTTTATATAAATTTTGTGTTATATATATATATATATATATATATATATATATATATATATATATATATATATATATATATATATATATATATATATATATATATATATATATATCACTGTTGTAAAAATCCCGACTAGGTACCGACGATTAATCCCTAGACGCTACTCGACTGATTAGAGGGTTCCTACCGATTAATCCTTGCATACATAATGAGTGAAACATTATAAAATGACGAAATTTTAACATTTTGAAGAAGTTTTATCTCAATGGAAACTATTTGAGGCATGATTAATGTTGTATTAATCCTATTAACCTATTTTGTTATCATATTAGTGGTATTTACGAATTTTGATATGATATTAGTCATATTTAATTTCTTAAAATTCAAAAAATTAGCAAGTATTGGTACCCGATTAATCCTCCGATTAATCTCTGCCTAGCCGATTAATCCCTTGACCCTAGTACACCGACTATCTAACATCAAGCGTCTTTTGCAACCTTGATATATATATATATATATATATATATATATATGTATATATATATATATACACACACACACACACTGATGTAAGAATGCATTAAGTTTTATGATTGTTTTGTATTAAATTCAAAATGAGTAAATTAATAGGTTTATTAAACTATGAATGTAATATTTAACCTATCATTGCATTACCTTATATACATATCTGATGTGTGAGGAATAATGGTTGTGATGCTATCACAAGTAGCTGGTGGTGGCGTGTGTTGATGGTGGTGATAGAGTTTGAGTTTGACAATTCTCTAGATTTGTGAATTATTATAAAATTGATTATATTAAGTTGTAAATTCGGTGTATTAAATTGTAAATGGACTTTGTATATTTGTATTTTGTATAATTGTGTTAAAATATAAATGAATGTATGAATGAAAATATTATACTAAAAAATTACATTTTTTCCCTTTTCTTACCAAAAGGAAAAAATTGGGATATTAACATATTTACAAGGGAAAAGTGAATATACATTACAGCCGCACCTAAGCTTAGGTACTAAACCTTATAAAAATACATCATTTTATTAACTGAAGATTGCCATTAGGGATTTATGGTTAACACTTGAAGCTGCAGATTCAAAATCGACACAATAATTTTGATAAGAAAGCAAGAATATTGATTATATTCGACTTGCATGATGGTGAAAAACAGTAATGTTTACTAGGGTGAAGTAATAAACGATAATGGAGGAAATAAAACTTGGATGGTAAAATGACAATGAAGGAAAGAAATGTTATCGGGGATGGTATATTTACCAAGTGAAAACCAAACATATTATCTTTACTAAGTTAAAACGACAAATTTTAGAGGTTTCGTACCTAAGCTTAGGTGAGCTGTAATGTATATTCCCTATCCCCTATTTACTAATATTCACAATGCATTTTGCTTATGAAATGGGGATTCTTAGGTTTCTTAATCTTTTGTGGTTCTCATTTGAACACTCCACACACACACACACACACACATATATATATATATATATATATATATATATATATATATAGGTTTAAGTATTCTAACTTATTATTGTGTTGATGTAGAAATTATTGTGAGCCAATCATTTCAAAAATATGATTAGGGTATAATAGTAATCTTGGTCATACTTAATTATATCAAACATCTAAAACATTTAATATCCTTCAAATCCGGGATTTAGTTTTTCAACCTTACAAAACTGTCGATCCCTCATCACCATCAACACACATCGTCGCCTGATTTAGAGAATTAGAAAGAAAACTCGATTTCATGATTCTTCTTCCTCCTGATCTCCTACACCATCATCTTCATCGGCCATAAACATCATACAACTCCACCACCGATGCCACCCATCTTCATTGTGGCTACAAGATCCATCGTCTTCTTCTCGATAACAACGATAAAACTAACAGAAACTGCTCGGAGCTCTCTACAATTCATTGGTTGTCTGTGATAAATAGTTCACGGAGAACTAACAACCTACGATATGGCGGCCGATAGTGGTATTGTTACCATAGGATCTCGCTAGCACCACCCTCATTCTCTTTTTCTCCAGACATTTGGTAAGTCATTCTAACTACTTTTCGTTCGCATTTCACCTAAAGTTCTAATTTATGTTATTGCATTAATACAACCTAATCTAATTAATTTCACCAAAAGGTCCAACTTTATCAATATTGAATAATAATCAATGGGATAATATATATGTACAGTGGGTGAGGTGAGTACCTAAGTGTGATAAACATCATCATAAGATATTTATAAAATTCATTTGGTGTCGTGTTTGTGACTTTGTGTTCTATTGGTTCTTTTTTTTTTTAAATGAGAAATCCATTGAGGACCAAATGCCAATAATGATAAATAAGCAAAGTTCTAATTGGAATTCTCTTACTTTCATCCACATGATTACATGACATCCTTTCATGATGTTATGCTTTATATTTTAATTCATAAATACTTGCTCCTGATTATATGCTTTACCTATTTTTTTTCAATATTCAACTCTGTATCTATTTTGGTGTAATGTGTATTGTTATACTTGATTCTTTTTATTAAAAAAGAGTGTTGATTGCTCTATTTTAGAATTTAATTATTATGCAATAAAATTCCATTTATTGTGTACATGTTTTTATTGTAACTAAAATATTATTGAAGATGTCTTATTGATTGCTATTTTCATTCAAATATTATTTGGTGTATGCATTTTTTGTATACATAATTAACATGTTATTTGAGATGTCTTTTTTATAGTTATCAGTTGAGTTTTTGTTGTTTAGTATTTTTAACATTTAAAACTTTATTTTGTATCATTGAAATTGACTTCCTTGCATGACTATAATAACATAAAATTGGTTTAATTGATTCCCTTTGATGACAATCGAGGACAAGCTTTTCAATAAAATTATGATCGATGGACATGTGTATTCTGTCCGAATCTCTATTATATTTGGCTAAAATGTTTTTTTTTCTGAAATTCATGTGTTGTAAATGAATATGAAAAAAAAGTTTTGTATATTGTCTATATACCTTGCACGACAATTATGACTTGATTATTGGTGTTACTTGGTTCTAACCTTATGGTATGTATTCTGTCAGATTTACTAAAGCTTGTTTTATTATTAGTGCGTGTAATGTTATCATAGAATCATACATAAAGTTTTTTATTTTCTAAGAATGTAATGAAAAAAAATTTAACTTGTACCAAAAATTTGTTATTCTTGAAAATGTTCATTCAATCAAAATGTATATATTCTGTCAGAATATGTATTCTTTTATGGTTCATTAATATTTCTTATATTTCAATATATTGATAAACATATTCTTTTATGGTTCTAAAATTTGAAAATTTCCCTTTTACATTTATGTTTCCTAATTTTGAAAGTAATGGAAATGTACATTTTTACCCTTCTATTAATAAAATGTTGTTATTCTATTTATCTTTTAATTTAATAATTGAGATAAATGTCTTTCTTAAAATAATTAAAATGATTGGTCCACAATCACACAATTATTTGTTACAATACATTAACCTAAGCCTATATATATATATATATATATATATATATATATATATATATATATATATATATATATATATATATATATATATAGAGAGAGAGAGAGAGAGAGAGAGAGAGAGAGACATAGGTTCCGTTGAGATTCCGAGAAAACTGAGATCTTAAGATTCAACGTCAGCCACATATTTCTCATTTGCCGTTATAACACTCCGGTGTACCGGCATGAAGGAAGAGCTATAATCATAAATGATTATTTAAGATTGTTCGTTCTTTTTTCCCCACCACCACAACCGCCACCACCACTACCACAATATGTACCACCAACCGACCCCATCACTGCCAGCTTCGTCACCTATGTCACCGCTACCTTTTCCACCAGCACCTCCTCCTCCACCAACCATCATAATCATATGTTATTACTCAATTTGTGAACAGACATATATGCATAATAATTTATGATTAGGAATATATGCATAAACATGTATAGTTATATATGATATGGTTGTAGATGACACTCCACCAAACTCTCTAGGTGATAACCCTATTTCACCTCCATCGATAAATCTCCCTCAACCATCTCATCCTCCTCTTCGCACTCCTTCACCTCTTCCCAACTCTCCTCTCCAATCTGATGCTGCCAAAAAGGGGGAGAATAATCAAGGGTTGTCTGATCAGCAAATGCATATGATTATAATAGCACTAACTTTATCTCAGTCTGAGATGTATGAAACTAGAAGGGTTAATATTTAAAAAGAAATTGTTGTTTATGATATTCCAGATGTTGATACAACAACAGATCAGCCCAGTCCAGACACTAGTGACCAGTAATAGACCGTTAACTATGAAGGGTTTCTTGATCTTGGTTTCATGCCACAAGCTGCTATTCCTTGGAATCTTTTCCACCCTGATTCTTACTTATATGAGGAGATTCCTCAAGAGGTTCCTTAAGGAACTAATATTGACATTGACCATGACAATGATCAAGTCAATCCTTGAAAGAGGAAGGATTCCTTCTTAGGGGAGTTCATGACGTTGGAGTTGGAAGCTCTTCTACTGTCATTGCTTGTGATCCTTCAGCACCTCTTCCTAACAAGAAAATCAAGCTCATCTTTGATCTAAATGAATTAGTAGAAATGTGGAGGTTATCCATTGAGGAAGTTAGAGAAATGATGTTAGAGTATAATGCTGATGTTCGACAAAAGAACGAAGCAAGAAAAGAAGAATGTCTATCTGCCAAACTTGCTTAAGCTCTTGCTTCCGCTGATGAGAGTGCTTATGTTCAAAGAACTGATAATCAGGTCAAGAAAATCTTTAATAATAATATGGAGAAACAACATATTGTTTCGGACATGAATGACCGGATCAATAGGAAGAAGTTGGAGATGTTCTTACTCGCAGATCAAAGCTTGATCCTATTATCAAAGTAAGATGCACCAAACCAAGAAACGAGTCAATAAAGCTTCACCTAGCTAGGAAGACAAATGACTATGAGTACACTAAAGTTGTATTTCCCCATGAGTTATTCAAATTTGGATACAGTGAGTGGATGTAAATTCAAGAAATTATCGACAAACACATGGGTATTCATGCTCAAGAAGTGAAGTTGGCAATTCAGCAGCTACTCAACAAAGTCAAGAAGTCGAACCTTGTACAGTTAGCTGGTCCTTCTAGATCATCATCCTTAGGAAGAACAGGCACTCCCAGACAATCCAAGAATACTAAGATTCTTCATCCTTATGGTACTAGGTATATAAACAATAAATTAACAGTGGGTGTTGAACAAGTCCAATACATGTTAATTCCTTAACCGGAGCATGGGATATTTTATCTTGACAGTCAGAATCAAATGTGCTTTCAACACACTGATGATCTTCCTTCTACTCCCATTGAAAATTTGTTTCATCTTCTTTTGGAAGGACTTAGTTTCTATGAATTAGAAAGAGGATGTCATGTACTGATATCTCTAGAGCTTAGTAAAGGACATGATGAACTTAAACTTGATCAATTCAGATGGGTCAAGCCTAAGATCTTGAAAAAAGCTGACAAGTTTTACAATGGCTCTTCTGATAACTCTGAAGAAGTTTAGTTTTGACATCATCAGATAGGGAGACATTGTAAGGTCACACCTTATGATCTAATGAGTCAAACACTCTATACTATCTATCAGTGTCAGCGTCTTCTCAACTACCAGCGCCAACGTATCAAGCATATCAACATCAATGCATAGTATAATTATTTATGTAATCTTTTTTATATTAGGTAATTATATAGATAAGTATAGAATAGATAGCAGATCCATTATCTTTATTATAAAGATCGGTTCTAAGTATAGATAAGATACAATCCCTTAAATCAAGGGATTCACATGTATAGATTAGTATATAATCTACATTAGGGTATACCCTATTGTAGAGAGTTCGACTTTGTGTTAATCGTCTTTCTGACAACCCGTCTTCTTGGTGAAGACAAAATCCTTTCTTAGTGAAAAGAATAATGTGGAGAACTCTCCGTGGTATTTACTTTCTGTTCTTTATTTTATGAGATTAAGTTTTACTTTCATTTTTATACTTGAAGTGTATCTGATCAATACAAACTCTCAGTCTTTGGTGACAATAATGGAAGACCTATTATGGGTCTTGGTACTCTTTAATATAGTATGATCAAGTTGAAGGATGTGTTGTATGTTAAGGGTCAAAAAGGCAATTTCATCTCCATCAGTCAACTTTGTGACACTGGTTATAAAGTTCTTTTCAATTTCCATAAGGGAAAAGTGTTTGATTCTAAGAACAAAATTGTGCTTACTGCACTCAGGGAAAACGTTATTAATATGGTTTGATTTCGTTTTTTTTAGACATGGATACTTTATTTGTTGCCTAGCTACTTTTAAATTTTTGAACATAAGTTGCTACAATTCTAGTTTATTTTTTATTTTGTGCATTAAAAGACTTCCTTTAACTTTGATTTTTGCAAAAAAGTATACATTGTACATTTTTCTACTAACATTGACTACATGTTTTTCTCTATCGATAGTGACCTTATCTGACTAGTCTACTTTGAAGGGATCAGTGTGCCATTCTTTGAATTCATCACCCTCCTTGTGGAGATAGTTGACACTGACTATGCGTCTTTTCTTCAACACCAATTGCTCTCTGCCTAATGTTGATGCCCACATTGATTAACTAAGTGCATCATGTTGATGAGACTAGATAGGAGATAACTGTGCTACTTAGTGTTCTTCTTGGAACATATATCTTCTATCTTAAACAACCTATTTATATTGCTATGAGATGAAGTGAAGCTGATTGATGTAGAACTTCTTATTCATAGATACTCTCACAGCAACACTGAATCCCATCATAAATCCTAAGGCGTCTTCAACAAGATAGTTGTCCCACCTTCCTTTCATTCACCGATCACAATGAGTGGAACCTTCGAGTTTTGTCTTGGTGAATTTTAAATCGATGGTTACAAAGATTGATCTTCTTAATTCATTGGTTAAAAAGACTAGTTCATAGTCCTCTCTTGTTCTTGGTGAACATGAAGCGTGGAATCAATCTGCAAAATCTAAAGGATTAAATGTATTCTCTCTCTTGTTTACTATGAATTATGTTTTCTTATTTGATGTAATTTATCTTTTCTTGACTTTCTTTTATAGCCAAACTTGAAGGACATATATCTTGGAAAATGGAAGTGCATTCATGACCATTCAATTCAAAAGATAACGGATCGAGTCTTTATCATGCTTCTGAAAAAGCTGCAAAAATATTAATTTTTAAATATTTCCTTGTTTGACTAACTCTTTTGTTTGTATATTATTATTTTGTAACATTTTTAACAGATCTGACGGTGACAATTCTAAGCCAAGTATGCAACTTTTGACAAATAATTGTCCCTAGAAGCATGTTGTTGTATGTAACTAAATCTCTCTAAGTCTCTCATCAGTGAGACCATCTGCTGAGAACATTGAGTCACCCTCATGTTGATTGTTTCATATAGTCTAAAATTTCTAAGTGAGATTGACTGGTCCAAATATAAAAACAATCGATAGAAAGGCTTGGGTGTGTATTCTTAGTTAACTATTTCACCTGACTTTGTCCCTGGAAGCATGCTTGCCGTATGCATTAAGTCTAATGTTTTGCTAAAACATTGAGCATAACCCAATGTCTTATCCTGACTGCAAAATCATCAGCATAAGAGATACTTGTTAGTTCCTTAAATGATAAAGTATTGAACATGTCCCTAACCTCCTGGACTGAGGTATGACATGGTACCATTATGAATTGATGATGAATCTTTGATCCTAGACTACAACTAAACTTTGCGATGCAAGGATCAAAACATTTATTGCTAATGAGTTATACTTGTTGATGATTCATGTTGATTCCACCTCAACATGGTTGAAACAATCCATTCTTGCCTTTATATTATTCTTTAAAGCTTTATGATTTAGTCTAATGCACCATACGCTGAAGAGAGCTTGACAAATCTATGTCGATGGTTAAGCTAAAACACAACAACTGATAAATAACTCCATTCTTTCCATATATTCTTCTTTAGAATTTCATGATCCAGTGTGTGATACCAGACGCTGATGAGAATTCGAAAACTCTGTGTCGATGGGTATATCATTGTCCGTGATATATTCCACACACCTACCTACTCTTGCCCCTTTCTTCGAATAAAAGTGATTACTGAGTTAGCATATGAAACCACAGTTTCAGCCCACACTATCAGAAGACATCACAAACTTACTAAATTAGAAGCTGCAATTCTTTTACATTGAATGTTTCTGCTAATGACCATTGCCACTGATGCTATGTCTCACTGATATGCATTATGCAACTTCCCAGACCCATTCTACTGTAAACAAGTATGTGAGTTCTATTATTCATGCTCTATTGATTCTGATGCCCAAGCCTTTATTGGAACCACTAGAGATGGTCAATATATGGTTACTATTGATGTGGAAGCTTATTGAACTGCTCTTCGTCTTCCTCGATTTGAAAAAATACAACGAAGCTCCCTCGGAAGAAAGTCTCAAGTCCGTTCATGAAAAATTAGGGTCTAATTTTGAACTTCAGGGCATCACTCGTGATCCATACAAAAACACTATTTGTCGGTGTTTTGATGTAGGATGGAAGTACTTAACTTGGTTATTGGAAAATGTCTTGGAAACAAGACTAAGAGTTTGGATCAACTGAATCTCTTTGAGCAAAGGATTTTGTTTTCTATTGTGTAAAACAAAAGACTGGATTTTTCTCAATTTTTTTTATTAGATGATTGATGGCATCACTGGGAACAAAAAACCAGTATATGTTCCTTATCCCCGTTGGTTTGGACTGATGTTATATCATGAGGAAGGCAATGTTGGAAGTCATGGGATTATTATTCCAATTGCTGCCCTTTCCTCAAAGATTATTTATGTCACTCCACCTGAAGATGTTTTTCTTATTACTAAAAAGATGAAAAAATTGATTGAAAAACCTTATGTGGTTGAATTCTTTGACTCTCAAGAAGACAATGATGAAAATAGTGATGAAGAAGACCCTAATGATGAAGGGGCTGATCAAGAGAAAGACGTTGAGATTGAAGTAGATGAACCTATCACCAATGTAGAAGACTTTATTTAGGGAATAGACTCTCCTCCAAGGTTGAACAACCACATTCGAATCTCATCCACTTATTTATCGACTCCATCTACAGGGGATGTTGGACAACATGGATCAACCCCACCTTTAGTGATTACTACTGAGTCACTAATCCAAGATGAGGTATCTACAAGACCAACGTCTCCTTCTCCTCAAGCTAAGAATATTCCTCCGATGCCAACACCTCTTCAGATTGTTATTGTTTATCATGGGGAATCCAATCCAATCCTTTAAAAAAAACAATTGTACTTTCTTAACTTTCTCTACTAGTGTAGATAACTCATTATTTGGGAAGAAGATTGTATAAAGTTGTAAAGGATGTTGCTGAGATGAAGCGGTTTATGGATTTAGGTGATGATGATACTAATGATATGGTTATTGATGAATCTCCTCCAAACTCTCCAGATGATAATCCTCCTCCACCTCCACCTCCACTTCCATCATCAAATCCTACACCACCTCTTCTACCATCTACTTCTCTTCCTAGAACTCCTTCAGCACATTTTGGTTCTCCTCCCCTATCTGATGCTTCTAGAAAGGGTGGAATAATCAAGGGTTTCCTGATTAGCAATTAGAAATCGTGGTAATTGCACCGACTCCATCTCAACCTAAGATACCTGAATCTAGAAGAAATAAAGTTGACTTTCAAAATGATATTTTTTATGATGATGACATTCCAAATGCTTCCAAACACTGATGCAGCAAGTAATAGTCAGCCCATTCCAAACACTGGTGATCAATCAGAGACCGATGACTACGAAGGGTTTCTTGATCTTGGATTCATGCCAAAAGCTGATATTCATGTTGTTCCTATAAATGTTATTTACCATGATTCTTAGTTTCAGGGGAGATTCCTCAAGGAACTAATAGTGATGTTGCGTCTGATAATGATTAGCTCAATCCTCAAAAAAGGAAGGCTTCTACCTCAGGGGGGGGGAGCTCATGATGCTGAAGCTCGAAGTTCTGATGCCGGTGATGCTTCTGCACCTCCTCCTTCCAAAAAGAGCGAGCTCATCTTTGATCTAAATGAATAGGCCTAAATATAGGATATACCTATTGATAAAGTAAGAGAGATATTGTTAGAAAACAATATTGTTATCCGAAACAAGAAATAAGCTAGAAAAGGAGAATGTATATCTGCCAAACTTGGTCAAGCTCTTTCTTTCGTTAATGGAAGTGCTAAAGTTCAAAGCATGAATGATCATCCCAAGAAATTCCAACTCTTCAATAATAGTGTAGATAAACAACACAAGGTTTCAGAGTTGAATGATCGAATTGACAAAAAAAGGTTTAGAGATGTTCTGACTCGAAGAACAAAGTCTGATCCCATTATCAAAGTGAGATGCACCAAACCAAGAAACGAGTCAATGAAGCTTCACTTGGTCATGAAGAAGACTGAATATTAGTATACTAAGGTTGTATTTACTCACGAGCTAGTCAAATTTGAATACAGTGAGTGGATGCAAATTCAAGAAATTCTTAACAAACTCAAGGGTATTCATGCTTTGGAAGTGAAATTGGCAATTCAACAGCTACTCATCAAAGTCAAGAAGCTGAACCTTGTGCCATCAGCTGATCTATCTAGACCATCCTCATCAAGAAGAACAGGTTCTCCCAGACAATCCAAGAATACCAAGTTTCTTCCACCTTATGGCACTAGGTATATCAAGAAAGAACTATCAGTAGGTGTTGAAATAGTTCAATACATGTTCATTCGAGAACAATAACATGGAATTTTCTATCTTGACAGTCAAAATCACATGTAATTTCAACGCACTAATGATCTTATTTCTGCTCCAACTGAACATTTATTTCATATTCACTTAGAAGGACTTAATCACTTTGAACTAGAAAGAGGATATTGGGTGTTGATATCTTTGGATCTTAATAGAAGACTGAATGAACTTCAAATTGATGAATTCAGATTGGTTAAGCCTAAGATCTTGAAAGAAGTTGAAAAGTTCTACAATGGTTCTTCTTATCACTATGAAGAAGATTAGTTTTGACATCATTAGTTAGAGGGAGATTGTAAGGTCACGCCTTATGATCGGATGAGTCAAACGCTGCATACGTTATCTGTCAGCATCAACGTCAAAATATGTAACGACCCAAAAGTCACGACTTCAAATTTTGTTTAAAACATTACTAAAACCATATTTATAAAAACCGTATCGTAAGTCATAATAAAATTTATGAATTATTAATTCAAAGCATAATCTCATAATCAGAGTAAAACATCCTAGGTTGTCTAACTATGGTGTGTGCACTGCAATCCCTCCGAGCTCCTCTTTTGAAACTGAGTACGTGAAACCAAAAACTGAAACCGTAAGCACGAAGCTTAGTGAGCTCCCCCAAACTACCACATACTATACAATCACATATAAAGCACATATTGGGCCTTGCCCACTGCATCGGACCGAGGTCTGGACTTACTGGGGCCTTGCCCCCTGCATCGGACCGAAGTCCGGAACTAACTAGGATCTTGTCCCCTGCATCGGAACGAGGTCCAGACTAACTGACTGGGACCTTGTCCCCTGCATCGGACCGAAGTACGAACTAACTGGGGCCTTGCCCCCTGCATCGGACCAAAGTCCGGAAGCTGACTGAACATAGCATAACATAAACATATCAACTAGCATGAACACACATACTGCATACTGCATCGGGTCGTAGCCCGGAACACATAACACATAAATCTTGTCTGAGCCACAAAGGCATCAAACATACTAACTAGTGCATCGGACCGATGTCCGAAAACTACTACTAGCTAAACGGGCCGACATTGTGGCCTTAGACTTGTTCCTACTGGAGGGAAGCTCACCTGGTATTGCTGAACTTGCTGGTAACCCCTCTAGATGCTGACCGACAATTCCCTGAACCGCTCCCCGAGCTACCAATATCAAAACATATATCACTTAGCTTAAATGATCTCCAAAAGTCAACTATGTCAACTCTGGTCAAAGTCAACCTTCCAGGTCAACCCTACATGCCGATTCTGCCTACTGACTCACTGAGTTCATTAGCTAAGAATCCTTTCATTCGCGACTCGACTCGCCGAGTCAGCCCCTGACTCACCGAGTCTACCGATTTCTGAGTCCTGACCTGCCCAACTCGTTGAGTTCCCACTCAAATCACTGATCCGAGTCTTAACTTGAAGGGTCTGGGGTTTCGCAACTTGACTCGCCGAGTCTAATAACAGACTCGCCGAGTCCAAGACAATCTTCAACAGACTCGCTGAGTTGTTCTTCCAACTCATCGTGTTGCTGCCTAAATTCATCCAACTCGGCGAGTCCACCTATGTGACTTGCTGAGTTTCTACACAACTCTAAGTCTGATATCTAGCCCGACTCGCTGAGTCATCTCCTAGACTCGCCGAGTCCATACGTGCATTCCCATCCATTGCTCCAAACCAAAAATCTGGGTTTCTAGAGTCCATTAGCGACATAAAGTTGCTACCTTTACATGCTTCTTGACCCCTAATGCCAAAAACCAAGCTAGAAAGGAACTTAACTCATGGGGAATGGCTTTTGCATAACAACTAACAGGGCTTTCTGCATCTATGATCCATATAGAGCTCAGATCTGGAGTTTCAACTCCAGATCTAACTTGTGAACCAATTTCTCATCACATACTCTCAAAGAAACCCTAAAACTCCATGAAAGATGGATCTAGAAAGGTTAAAGCCAAGGATAACGATTCATTACCTCCAAAACGTCCTCCTACTGAAAAGGAATCCGAATCTCCACGAACCTCCTTGGTCCAAGCTTCTTGATCTTCAAGATTTCTTCACAAAACACTTAACAATGCCCCAATTTGCTTCCAAAGGCCCACACTCACGATTCTAGGGCTTCTGAATCTCAAAGAAGAGTAAAGAGGCTGGGGAATGGGTGTAATGTTCCTTAAATAGGGTGCAAACCCCCGGATTAGGGTTTTTCTCATTCAGACCAGACTCACCTAGTCGGTCACTTATTCTACACCTGGATCCCGCTCTAACTTGTCGAGTTCCTCCCTGGACTCGACGAGTCGACCTTTAACTTATAGTTTTCCTTTCCTTTATTGGTCTTTCTAATTTCGGGTGTTACAAAATAACAACGAGCGCTATCATATCAAGTGCATCAACATCAGTTCTTAGTATCATTATTCTATGTAAACTTTTATATATTACGTAATGATATAGATAAGTATAGATTAGAGAGCAGATCTGATATCCTTGTGATGAGGATCAGTTCTTAGTATAGATAAGATATAATCCCTTCTATCAAGGGATATATTTGTATATACTAGTATATATTCTACATTAAGGTGAAACCGTAATGTATCCCTACAACTTGGTGTTGTTGATCATCTTTGTGATAGTCCTTGTGACAAACTCATTTTCTTAGTGAAAACCAACTCTTTCTTGGTGAAAGAACAATTTAGAGAATATATTTTGTTCTTTAGTTTCTATTCTTTATTTGTTTAGATTAGTTTGCTTTTGTTCTTTATGCTAGAAGTGTATCCGATCGATACAAACCTTCACAAAAACAAACTTCATCAAAATTAAAGTTCATAAAATCGATAAATTATACTAATGTTGTGACATCCCCATTTTCACGCTAGAAAAGACCGATTTGTTTATGCTTTGTTTTAAAATCAGAGTAATCGTTTACAGAAAACATTTACGGAATTTGTTCCCAAAACAAAATGTGATAAGAATTTATCAGATCATTTCTTTAAAGAAATGTATTTTCAGTAAATAACAAAATCTCGGGATGTTATGTTCCGAAATAGACCAAAAGCATAAACAGTATAAAATAGACCTTACAACAGTTATTTATAACTACTGATCTATAATCCAAAATCTCTAGTCAAGTCCACCAACTTATACTCTTGTGCCATTACCTTTAATGCAAAGAAAACTAAGTGGGTCAGGCTTGGGAGCCTGGTGAGCATATAGGATTTTCAACCCACAATAATATATTTATTATATTCAATCATCAAACAATCAACCCAATTAACCATCCCCATTATCTTCTTTATTTCTTAAGGTTTTACCCTAAAAATCGACTATCCTTCCTTCATTCATTCCTAAGGATTTACCTAAGGAATTGGCACGAAGTCCATTGCTGCCAAAGGTTATCTATTAGGTACTAAATCCATAGCTATCAGGCACTAACTCCATAGTCACCAAGGTTCACTCAACAAACGCTAACTCCATAGTCGCCAAGGTTTACTCAACATGCGCTAACTCCATAGTCGCCAAGGTTTACTTTAACATGCGCTAACTCCATAGTCGCCAAGGTTTACTTTAACAGGCACGAAGTCACATCGTTGCCAGGGTTTAATCATACCATCTCTCATCACACACCAACTATACCATCTACCCATGTTCTACCCAATATATTTGTAGATATAAATTACATATGTAGTTTAAATCATATACAATCTTGTATAAAACATTCATCCAACATCCTTGTCAAATAACCAAACAATATATAAACACATAACATGTATTTCATAACAAATACTTCATGTATATGTGTTAGAAGAAAGTAACTACACACTCACTTGATTAGACGATGCTTGGACAACACTACGGCTTGTAAAAGTAGTGTTATTCGGTAGATCTTCACAAAAACCGGCTTCTCGCAGGCAGAGCTTCGGCTCGGGAATTTCACTTCTCGGGATCTTTGGGCTTCAGGACTTGCTTTGGGTCTCAGGATGATATCGGGGCTTCAGGGGTGCTTGTTTGCACGTAAATCGAGGTAATATGGGTGATAGAAGAGTGAATTTGCAATCATGGCCGGCTGCTCCTTCAATTCTATTTATAAGGCCATTTTCTGTACTCACGTCGTGAGCACAGTAGGTCAATGCGTTCGTCATTCGTCCACTTGCTCTGGAGGCTCCAGAAGGCGTCAAAAGTCAGTTCACGTCGTGAACACTGTATTCCCGTCGTGAACCCTGAGAATTTGGGGGTTTCGCGTCCCGAACTTCATAAATTCATAACTTTCGCATATGAACTCCATTTTTGATGTTCTTTATATCGACGCGTAGGTAAAAACAATATCTACAACTTTCATTTTGACTTCATCGGCTAATTTTGAATTTAATTTTTATTATATTATTTTTAGTAGGTCAGGACAGGAAAAATCCGTTATAAACTCATAACTTCTTTATCTATCGTCCGTTTTCGTCCGTCTTTTCACCGTTAAACAACAATCGATGAGATCTTCAATTCTCAGTTAGATTATTTCGGCTAAATATCACGTGATCTCATATTCGAACTTCGGGCTGTACACTATTAAGCCAAAACTTCGAAAAATCATAAATTCCTCATACGAAGTCAGATTTGGGCGTTCTTTTCATGCACGCTCTCGGTTTAACGTATTCTACGACTTTCATTTAGATCGCTAAGGCCAAATACCGCTCTAACGTAAATTCACTATTTACGTCACGCTGTGTCGTGCCAGTTCTGTCGAGAAACTTCGACATGTCATAACTTCTTTGTTATAACTCGAATTTCGGCATTCTTTATATGTATGGAATCCTTGTAACATATACTATAACTTAGTTAAGATTAATCCTTCTAAATAATCTTCCATCAAAAAGTCATTTTTGATGCTTATAGTCTGTAAATTGACTAGTACGGATCTACAGGAGTTACAAATGTAACTACCCCAAAAATGTCTTCATCCTCTCCAAGCATCATATCACACTACCTATTCCAATGCAACACACATAACAAGCAAAGAAACAAGTGTCAGTATATGCTAAGTGAGTTAATCATAGTACAATGTTATGGGATGCACATATCCCAAATGGGTGAGGCTAGACATCATATAAGCATGCATTCAAATACTCACATAACATGACATGTCATCTCATATATTACTCACATCACATACACTAGGTACATCACATACATCACATACATCACTTACATCACTTACAACACATACATCATAATAATTCTCATTAGTATAATTCAACATTAGAGCCTTTTAGTTACATTTATTATTCA